ATTCCAGGCTTGGACAAAGGATTTGCTCGGTTTGAACAGTTATTCCCGATTTTTTTTCATCCCACACCCCCCTTCAGAAAAAACATCGGAACTGTAGACTGTAATGTTATCTTTCAATGTACTAAGTATAGATATTGAGTCGGACGATACAGTAATGCACTTACGTTGTAAAGGAACGGCAAGAGTTGTCGCCACTAAGGAGACGAGTATAGGCGAGATCATCTTGAAGCTTCCACTTTAGGGAATTTACCTGTAAGCATAATTGTCTAAAAAATCATCAATCATTTGGAAAATCAATATCTGATCGAGCTGATCGACAGCATACAAAAAGTGACAACACTGGCAACATGGAAACAATGTCTTTGTGAAGCTTTACAATGCAGAAGGAACTTGAAATGGGAAGAAGGCCGTCGGAGAAACGAGCCCCGAAAGTCGGTGACGACTAGCCGACGATCACAAGTACGTTACACAGCATTGTGGGTAAGTTGAAAAGACAAGTTTCTACATCTGGGTAATTAATAACGGCTCTGTAATAAACATCTGGGTGACCTTGATTATACAAAGTAAAACTAGTTACTAGCTCTCTCTCAGATCTCTTAGGCTTTAGGTTCAGAACAGATGTCTTTCCAAAAGTCTTTTTGCTAGACTATTTTCAAAGCAAAGTCGGTTCGGAAAGAATTTGCTCCAAATGCGTTAATATGAAATGGCCTAAACTAGCGATAGCATTTGGCAGAGGCATTCAACACCCACACGACATACCCTCACACTAACGATTCTTTAAAAAAAACCTTTACCACTTGAAAATGTAGGGATTTTACAAGAGAAACGTGATCAACAACAAAGGACGTGGTCTATAATTTTTCTTTTTGAGAAAAATGATTTGCCATTAAATTTTCTTTTTGAGAAAAATGATTTGCNATCATCTTGAAGCCCACTTTAGGGAATTTACCTGTAAGCATAATTGTCTAAAAAATCATCAATCATTTGGAAAATCAATATCTGATCGAGCTGATCGACAGCATAC